GCAAACTTAAAAAAAAAGTTACCGTAGATGGATTTAGGCAAAAAACGAAAAGGAGAAAAGCCCATTGAATTGAAACAGGCTAAACAAATGAAAAAAATGGACTTAAAAAAAGGCCTAAAAAAAGAGCCATAAAAAAAAGGGAGTTTTAACTGTTATTTAAAATTTTAGTTATTCTTTTATTAAAAAATGAGTGTATGTTAAAATTAATTTACTTTTTCTATATAAAAATGTGCAAATAGATTAATTTTGAGGGGACGCTGATAGACATTAAAAAAAAATTGTTAAAATTAAAATATTTTTATCCTAGTAAAATCTTAAAAGTTGGGGTTGCAAATCTTCAAAGTGATATTTTCTATTTAATCAAAGTAAATTTATTGATGAAATGACTAAATTATTTTTAAAGTAAAAGGTATTTGAGGTCATTTGGAGAGCTTCTTTTAGCTATAAATAGGCCAATCATTTGATGAAATAAATGAGAAAAAGAGAGGAATTGCAAGCTTTAAAACTCTCGACAATTTTCAAAGTTTCAAGTCTCAACAATGCACGATTTCAACCCTTTGCCAAACGTAAGTTCTAAATCTTTGACAAGGAGGAAAAATCTCAAAGACAAGTCTCAAATCCCTTAAAGGACAAGAACAAGTTCAATCCCTTCTATCCAAATCAAGTTGTTAATTAGAGAATCATGTTGTTCTAGATTTGTCACCACTTAAAGTTTGAGCACATGCATTGCAACACCTTGAACCAAAAATTGTTTCTCATTTCTTCTAAATTCATTGTAATATGTATTTATTATTTTGCAAATTAATATACATTATTTCATTTTTGTAGATTTTGTGACTACACATCTTTAGCGACTCCACTATGGAGATCTTTGCCTCTCATTATTCAATTAAGAGAAAATTCCATCACATCATACCAAACATGGTAGACTCAAAGCAAACCACTACTCCTCTTGCAACTCCAAAAACTCAAATCTTTTCCAATCTATCCTTCTTGCTAACCAATGTCAAGCCACGCATGACAAAGTCTAAGCTGGTGTCCCTCTTAAGGTAGTTCACTAAAAGGTGTTGTAAGGAGGTTGTGTTGAGAAAACAATCACCAGCCATCCAATTACCTTTCCAACCTACAAATGATGTCAAGTACTTCTCTTCAAAATCTAGTGAAGACGAGGAAATTAGCTTCAAACCTAGTTAAAAGCTTCCTCTGAAGTTAAGGTATGCTGATTATCCTTCCTCATTCACTGAGCCCATCTTGCTTACCTTGGTCACTAAAGTCGTACATGGCAAACTGCTACTCCTCTTACAGCTCGAAAAACTCAAATCTTTTCCAATCAATCTGTCTTGGTAACCCATGTCAAGGCATGCATGACCAAGTCTAAGTTGGTGTTCCCCTTAAGGTAGTTCACTAGAAGGTGCTATAAGGAGGTTGCGTTGAGAAAACAATCATCAGCCATCTAGTTGCCTTTCCAACCTACGAATGATGTTGAGTACTTCTTTTTAAAATCCAATGAAGACAAGGAAATTAGCTTCAAACCTAGTGTTATGCCCCAAAACCCAAATCCGAGGCGTGACAAATGTCGTGCACTCATGAGAGGGTCCCACAAATGCACAAGGCTCGAAACTTAATCATATCACAATCTGATACCACTCCATAACTTAAATCAAACATCTCAATTTATTTCTATATCCAAAATGACTTAAATCCAAGTATTTGATCTAATGACTGAAATCTGTTTTGATCTCATAAATTCAAGGTAAAATCTATCTTACAAAAGTATGATTTATTTCTAAAACCTATATCAAACTCACAATGGCTAGCCTTCTAACTCGTCACTTCCCGTGGTTTCCTCGTCCTCGGTTTCGCTTCCTGAAATGGTGGACAAGGAAAACTATGAGATAAACTCAGTAAGTAAAATATAGATAGCCCTTAATTAAACTTATAGCATGCCAACAAATGTAATCACGAAAAACGGATACAGTACGGGAACGATCAGGAACCTAATCAAAATATCCAAGAATTAATTACCGTACCACGAATTCAAAAGTAAAATCACCATGACTACCCCCTAATCACGATGCTATTCCTATCAATCTCCACATTATTGAACATCTCCAAATTTGTTTTTATATTACAAACTAAACATTTAAATCCCCATTAATTGTTGGCCATCAGTGCGTGAACAGTAACATGAACAGTACCTTCAACTTCCAAAAATTGGCCAAAACACTAGCTAATTTCACGGGATTTTCTCTCCAAAAATCACAGCAGTCAATTAACACTCAATCACATAAATCCCACTTGAATTAAGCAAAATCATGGTCTAATTACTATCAAATTTCTCCCCTATTTCTAGCAGATTTTCAAACACACAAGGCAGCAAATAAATGGACAAATTCGGGGCTTGGAGGGCTGTCCACATACCAGAATTTTCCAGCTACAAACCGGACCTAGCAGGGGGGGAGAAGTCGGCGGCAGTGCAGGGGAATTTAGGGGGATCTACCCAAAACTGAAAGGAACAATAGATTTAACATGAACCCAAGCTAAATCAAGCTGAAAAGATGGAGTTCATGGCTGTGGCTTTCCGGAAAAATGCCTAGAAATCACACCAACAAGCTGCAGCTCACGGACAAGGGAAGACAGAGCAGAGTAGATCTGGAATTTCCAGCAGGGGGAGAAGGTTTCTAAGCTCCTAAATCTTGTCCTTAGATAAGGAAAGAAGGATAACATCAAGCCTCCTTACCGGTTTTCCAAGGCATGGCTGGGTTCCCTTTTTTTTTCTTCTTTCGGGTGGGCAGCAACGGGGAGAAAAAGAAGAAGAGCAGAATCGGGCTGAGAAGAAAGAGGAAAAGGAGAAAAAGAATAACTGATCCTTATCCAAATTCTTTCCTCTTTTAAATTCCTCAACTTTTGAAGTTTTAGCTAATAAGCCCTAAAACAATATATTCTCACAATCAAGTCCTTAACTCACACTTATTTATTCTAAAAATTTTTGGGGTATCACATCCATCCCTCCTAAAAAGGAGTTTTGTCCTCAAAACGCAAATTGAGGACCATTTCGAGTGGTGAATGGCTTCACACAATCCGAGACAAAATAAATGCCTCACCAACTCTTTATGAACAGAACATGGCCTACTATGCTTCCGCTGCACCACTCTGATAACAAACCACAATTAATCCTAAAAGCAGAACTCTAACTACTTAACAGGGTTACCATGAAATAAGCTACTAGAAGCTGGGGTGATATGGGAAACACAAGGAATAGAAATAAATCCTGCCAAAGCCACAAAAGAACAATTGTGGGGTTACGCTATGAACCCAACACAAGACAAGTTGGCAAAGAATGGCATGGATTTAAAGACTAGTACAACAAAACATGAACTCTATCAAAGACGGATAGGCATCCGATGGATATATGGATCATGAATGAATGAACGAGTGCATGGATGCCTTATACATTCTGCCACAACAAGGTCAACCAATAAGTAAGGTCATGTTTAACAAAGCAATTGGAATCGAGAAACAGATTTTAGCAATTAACAAGAGTTAAAAGCTAGGACCATCAAAAGACATGTAAGAATTTTCAAAATAGCATCAGAATGAAATCAGTGGAAAATATGAATGCTTGGAAGAATACTGGAATATAAGAGTGCAAGGTAGAATGCCTCAAAAATTCAGCAACAAAACGGCATTCACCAAGAATCAAGATCAAATTTAACCAAGCAGTCAAAATTGAGAAACAAGAGTTAACCATGAAACAAGCAATAGAATTCCAAAAATTGGGCCCACAAAAGAGATTTCAATAATGACAATGAGAACAAGGATTCAAGAGCAGATATAATCAGGATGTCAAGATCTAGCACCTCAAGTACTAGAATTAATTAACAAAAAAAAAATCAATAGTGGGGATTAGGACACTTAGAAAATTACTGTCTTCTAATTAAAAGGGCAAACAAAAATCAAGGTAGCCAGATAAAAGAACCATTTCTCTCAGAACAAAACTCTAGGGCATCAGGTACTTCAAAGACTACCCCTTCACCTCGTAGCCCATGGAGGCTAAGCAGATTTACCATCAAGTCATCCTAGACATCCTAAAGTCAAGTCAAAACTAAGACATCAAGAATACAGAGATTAACACTTGCAAGAGACAAGGATTAGGATGCCTCATATAGGTATTTTCTAATAATCATCACCCCTCTTAAAGAGGTGTCTATATGAACAAAATCAAAATCAAGAAGATCAACAGGTATACTAAAACAAGAACTAGCAGAATATGTAGGATTTGAGCGAAAGCAGTATACAGAATTTGAACAAGAACCAGTGTCAAAACAAGAACCTTTTCAAGGACAACTCAAACTAGATTCCAAAAACCAAATATCAATTGATTTTCAAGAATAGATTCCAAGAACAATATCAGTTGATTTTCAAGAGTAGAACTCTAACAAGAATTAATTTCAAGCAAGGTTTACAAACCGATTCCAAGCACAATGCCAGAAACAGTTTCAAGAAATAGTTTCAAACAAGTATCAAGATAATGAGGATTTCAATAATCATTATCCATTTCCTTTGGATTTCAGTTTCAAGAACAAGTACAAAGCAATCTCAAGAAAGATTCAGGATGGATTTCAAGAGTTTCAAGCGGTTTCCAGGTATCAAGAATGTAGAGATTGCCAACAATAGAGAGTTTAACTTTATGACAGCTTGCCCATCTTCACAAAAACACGGCAATTTCAATTGAATGATCACTGTTTTTGATTAACCAATATAGAAAAAATGAGCCACATGAAAAGACCATGAAGCTCTAAATGGAAAAAGTGAAATTTCACTGTAAGACCTTCAGAAAGATAATGAGTAGCAAAACTACCAAGTTATCCAGCTCCTAAAACGCATCCAGAAAACACACAACATTTGCTAAAATAGCCTTGAATCTCTTACAAAGTAGAGGGTTGCCTATCTTCCACTGGTCATGTGATAAACAGAACAAATTTCTCAACCAGCTATGCTGTAGAGACCAACAGGATCAATAACAAAAGATCTCTGCAACTCCCCAGATTTTACAATGGTGGCAAAAGAGCATACAAAAATTCTATTCAAGTAACAAGTCTAAACAAGTTCGGACTATCAAAAAATGACCAAGTTTCAAAACAAGGTCTTAAGAACATGGCGGATAAGATTAATTTCACAAATCTACACAGGGTATGAAGGCAAGAAACAAGAACAATCAGATTACTATCTCATCAAAATGGATTAGAAAATTCAGGCAACATGAATCAAAATCATCCCTTATATAACCCAATCACTCATCTCACCACGGTTCTAAAATCCATTGGCCAGCCAAGTTCCAAACAAATCCTAGGTATTCAATTAAACCTAGGTATTTAATTAAATCTAAGCTTTGATGCCACTCAATCTGGAGGTGATTAATTTAACCTAAGCTCTGATACCACTAAATCTGTCATGCCCCAAAACCCAAATCTGAGGCGTGACAAACGTTGTGCACTCGTGAGAGGGTCCCACAAATGCACAAGGCTCGGAACTTAATCATACCACAATCTGATACCACTCCATAACTTAAATCAAACATCTCAATTTATTTTTATATCCAAAATGACTTAAATCCAAGTATTTGATCTAATGACCGAAATCTGTTTCGATCTCATAAATTCAAGGTAAAATCTATCTTGCATGATTTATTTCTAAAACCTATATCAAACTCGAAATGACTGGCCTTCTAACTCGTCACTTCTCGTGGTTTCCCCATCCTCGATTTCGCTTCCTGAAATGGTGGACAAGGAAAACTATGAGATAAACTCAGTAAGTAAAATATGGATAGCCTTTAACTAAACTTATAGCATGCCAACAAGTGTAATCATGAAAAACGGATACAGTACGGGAACGAAATAGACGTCTCCTTTATAGGTCACGGCCAGTGTTATAAACCTCCCACTGGTAGGCACACTATTTGCTGGTGTATAACCCCCACTAGCAAGGTCACTCGAACGAACCGGTTCTATCAATAACATGTCGACATGTGCTAGCGTTTAACCCCCACTAGCAGGGTCACTAATAACATGACCACATCGGAGACAAAACAGGTAGAAGTTAACAGAAAAATCATAATTCACCAATCACTTTCAAATCATCAGGACAATCAATTAAATTTCAAGTAGGCATGCTCAATTTAATGAAAAGCATAAACATTTCACTTCAAATCAGTCATACTTCTTTTGTATAAAACGGGTTTAATCCCGCCACCACTTCATAAACAAATCAAAACATGCTTTTAAAAACTGTACAGGCATTATTATAAATTTACTTACCTTACTCGCATAAAACCGAAGACTCGATCTCAGTGCTAAACTGACAGAACGATCAGGAACCTAATCAAAATATCCAAGAATTAATTACCGTACCACGGATTCAAAAGTAAAATCACCATGACTACCCCCTAATAACGATGCTATTCTTATCAATCTCCACATTACCGAACATCTCCAAATTTGTTTTTATATTACAAACTAAACATTTAAATCCCCTTTAATTGTTGGCCATTAGTGCGTGAACAGTATCAATGAACAGTATTCATGAACAGTATCCATGAACAGTACTCCAACTTCCAAAAATTAGCCAAAACACTAGCTAATTTCACGGGATTTTCTCTCTAAAATTCACAGCAGTCAATTAACACTCAATCACATAAATCCCACTTGAATTAAGCTAAATCATGGTCTAATTGCTATCAAATTTCTCTCCTATTTCCAGCAGATTTTCAGACACACAAGGCAGAAAATAAATGGACAAATTCGGGGCTTGGAGGGCTGTCCACATACCAAAATTTTCCAGCTGCAAACCGGACCTAGCAGGGGGAGAAGCCGGCGGCAGTGCAGGGGAATTGAGGGGGATCTACCCAAAATTGAAAGAAACAACAGATTTAACATGAACCCAAGCTAAATCAACTTGAAAAGATGGAGTTCATGGCTGTGGCTTACCGGAAAAATGCCCAGAAATCACACCCACAAGCTGCAGCTCACGGACAGGGGAAGACAGAGTAGAGCAGATCTGGAATTTCCAGCAGGGGGAGAAGGTTTCTAAGCTCCTAAATCTTGTCCTTAGACAAGAAAAGAAGGATAACATCAAGCCTCCTTACTGGTTTTCCAAGGCATGGCTGGGTTCCCTTTTTTTTTCTTCTTTCGGGTGGGCTGCAACGGGGAGAAGAAGAAGAAGAGCAGAATCGGGCTGAGAAGAAAGAGGAAAAGGAGAAAAAGAATAACTGATCCTTATCCATATTCTTTTATCTTTTAAATCTCTCGACTTTTGAAGTTTTAGCTAATAAGCCCCAAAACAATATTTTCTCACAATCAAGTCCTTAACTCACACTTATTTATTCTAGAAATTTTTGGGGTATCACACCTAGTTAGAAACTTACTCTAAAGCTAAGATATGTTGATTATCCTTCCTCATTATCTGAGCCCCTCTTGCTTACCTTGGTCACTAATGTCGTACACGACAACCTAAATCCTTTCATCAAAGTTATGGTAAGCTTAAGAAAAGTTGTGGATGAAAAGGATGGCTAAATCAAGGAATTTTGAGAACTTTTAATGGCTTAACACCTGTCAAATTAAAATAATTGAACAACATCAAGTTTAATAATTGGGAAAACCCTTAAAAACAAAGAAAACTTGCAAAATACTCTAGACCAGGGTAAGCAAGTTACCATAGAGGAAAGCTTAGAGCAACAAAAGTAAGAGCAACTAAATCGAACCATTCTTTAAAGTGCTTTTCGAGACACCTCCAACTATTATGGCATCCCTTACATTTCCACTACTCAAACTTTTAGTTGATGATGTAATTCAAGCAAAGCAAAGTAGAACATCACAATCTTCAATTGTGTACACCATGCCTTATACTTGCAAGATTCATAATCTAAACCTACTAGATGGCTACTAGCCACCAAAATTCTAGAAGTTCAATAGGAAAGGCAACCTAAGGCAACACATAATGCATTTTGTTGAAACATGCAACAATGCTAGCACCTATGAGAATCTCATGGTGTAACAATTTGCTTGCTCATTAGATGATGTAGTTTTAGAATGGGGCACTGACTGTCTTATTGAGTTAGTGGATAATTGGAACCAACTAAAGTAGGAATTCCTAACACAATTTTACAATACTAAGCGTATTGTTGGTTTACCTAAACTTGCCAACATTAAGCAAAGAAAAGATGAATCTATCATAGACTTCATTTTGAAATGGAGAAGTCTTGTCCTTAACAACAGGAAGAAAATTAGTGAAAGTTCCTCTATTGACATGTGTGTCCAAGGCATGCATTGGGGCTTACTATACAATCTTCAAGCCAAAATGCTGCATAATTTACTTGGAAATTTAAATTGCTAAGCATGGAAATTTCCTACCAAGTAATGTAGTAAAAAAGGAGTTGGAGCACATGAAAGCAGAATTTGTGATAGTCACAATAACTCTAAAAAGGGTCTTACTTAACATATCTAATTCAATTTAAAAGTCAAGTGTTAAGATCTTGCAAGATCAAGTCCAAAAGAGGAAATCCACACTTAAGGAACTTCAACAAAGAATGTACTCATTTATGGACTTCAAAGTGTCTAGCATCCTGGATCAATTATTAAAACAAAACTTAATCAAATTTCCACCTCCAAAATGTTTGGAAGAATTTGGATAAATAAATAACGGCTTAATTTAAAAATTAGTCTATTAACTATCAACTTGATTTCATTTTAGTCTAGAAAGTATGTTTCATTTCTAAGTGGCCTATAAACTTTGGAAAATATTTCAGAATGATCTACTGTACAAGATTTTTTATTAGTTTTAATGGAAGAATCAACTTAAAATTAAAATAGAACAGTCCTCTAAGTTTTAAAAAAGTGACACTATAATCCTAATAAAATATAATGAATCAAGGAATACTCTATAAAGATAGATTAGTTATAATTTATGATGAAATTGAGCAACTAGCTCAATTTGAAAAGAGAAACCTAGCGAACTTAGAAAGCAAAGCTCCAAAAGTAAGTATTGAAAATACAATGAGAGTTAGAACTCTTGATTACAAAATAAGAACAAAAAGAGAAATAATAAATACATTAAGAAATATTATTAATACACTTCTATCAGCATGAGCAATGAACAAATAAATCAAATTAACATGTATTTACTCAATACATTACGAAAAAGTATAATAGATATAGAAGATACAATTATCATATATAAAATTCTAAAAATAGAAACAATTGATGAAAACACCCTAAGAAGAATTAAAGAAATGGGAAAATCCCTTTCTCAAGAATTTGATTCTATTAAGAAAGAATAAATAATGTCAAAAACTCTAGAAATTTTGAAAGAAATAAAAGAAGAAATAAGGTCTATTAAAGAGAGACTCTAATATCTCGAGTAAGAGAGATAAAAATCAAAATAGAAGAAATTTTCAAGATATTAAAAGCAATCACTGAAAAATTTGCAATAAAAGCTTAAAGTTATTGGATACAATACAATCACAATATGAGTAATTATTATATATATAGTCATTTATAATTAATTTAGTCATTATTATATATATAGTCATTTATAAAAATTTACCTACAAAACAAACAAAAAACCAAAATTAGTAATTATTATATATATAGTCATTTATAATTTTATTAACTTTCAAATAAATTAAAACATACTTAATGACTTAATGTTTATAAAAAGATTGAATACAATATAATCACAATATGAGCCTCAAGAGAATGAAGAATTAAGTTGAAGAAAATTAATTTAATTACTGATATATGTATGAGAATTTTATGATAAAAGGAAATAAATATATGATACTTGATAGATAATTAATGGATAAAAAATGAGTGAGATATGGAGGATTTGTGAAAAAATGAAGAAAAAAAAAAGGCTGAGAAATGGAGGAGGCATGCAAAGAGCATATCACACAGAAAGAATGGGAGGAGAAATAAAAGAATTGCTTAGCTCAGTTGGGGTGGGAGTATATATAAAACCTTCAGCATCATAGATCATGTTGCTAAAAGGTTTCCCCTCCAATCAACAGCATATCCCATGTTGTAAAACTTGTTCAAATTTCAAATGGCATAACTCATAACCAATGTGTATTGTATTGCTAAAACTTCAAATTACCATTCTTGTCCATTGTTTGATTCATATACTTCAAAAAAACTCATTTTTATTTCTAAAATTTAATTTCTTTGTTGATTTTTATTACTTTATTAAATATTACTTAACACTTAACACATTAGTTAATATAATTATATTATTCATTTTTTATTTGAATGATTTAAATATGTAATTTGTCCACAAAAATAATGTGCACATATTTTTGAGTTTCCAAAATATTTCACGTAGAAATATAAAATATTTTTTTCTTAAGAGTTGACTATTGAAAATGAGTATCGAATCTCTTTAAAACTTGACTGTGCCTTGCGTCCAAAACTTCACCACTCTTTGGAATTTGGGAGTTGAATCTTGACCTTATAGAGTCAACTCTATCTGCCTCTTAGAGTCAACTCTGTCTTATGTGCATAACTTCTCCATTCTTTGGAATTCGGGAGTTGAATCTTCACCTTATATAGTCGTCTCTGTCTGCCTGCCTAGAGTCGACTTTTTATGTTGAGAGTAGACTTTACAGTACATCTAGCACTTCTCCACTCTCTGGAATTTGGGAGTCGAATCTTGGCCTTGTATGATCAACTCTGTCTACCTGCCTAAAGTCGACTCTTTACATAGAGAGTTGACTCTGCATTGTGTCCAAAACTTCTTCACTCTTTGGAATTTGGGAGTCGAATCTTGACCTTATGTAATATCCCAAAATTTTGTGATATTTTAGCACTTAGTTAAGGACTTGATTGTAAGAAAATATTGTTTTGGGGCTTATTAGCCAAAATTTCCAAACTTGAGGGACTTAAAAGAGAAAGTGAATTGGATAACGATCAGCTTTTTTTTTTCCTTCTCTTTTCTTCCTCACCCGCGCGTCTGCTCTTCTTTTTCTTCCCCCTGCAGCCGAACAAGAAGCAAGCCCGACAGCACCCATCCCTTGAGAAAATTGGTGACAAAGCTTGAAATTTCTCCTTCTTTCTTGCTCAATAACAAGTTTTAGGACTTAGAACTCTCTCTCTCAACCTAGAAATTCCAGATCTGCTCTGCATCTTCCTCCCTCTACCGTCCGCGAGTTGCAGCTTGTGCGAATTCTGGGCATTTTTTAGGTAAGAAACAACCATGATTTCATCCTTTTAGCTTTGATTTAAGTTGGGTTACTTTAATTTCCTCTTGTTCCTTCAATTTTGGGTTAATCCCGTGAGTTTCCTGTAGAATTGCCGCCGGCCTCTTCCCCCTGCCAGGTCAGGTTCTGCAGCTGGAAAATTGTGGGTAAGTTGACAACCTCCCTTAAGTCCGAATTTTATCCAATTGGTTGTTGCCTTTGCTGAATTTGGTCCTTGTTGTGGCTGCTCTGTGTTGTCCGAATTTTGCTGGAAAAATGGGGGAATTTCAGTAGCTTTAAGTGGGTTTTGTTTAAATTAAGTGTAAATTAGCTTGAGTAATTGTTGTGAATTTGTGTAGAGAAAAATCCCGTGAATTAGCCATTGTTTTGCTAATTTATGGAAGTGCAGTACTGTTCACGGGTACTGTTCATGCACTGATAGCCAACAATTAACGTGGATTAAGTGTTTAGTTTGTAATATAAGAACAAATTTGGAGATGTGTGGTCATGTGGAGATTGATAGGAATAGCATCGTGATTAGGGGGTAGTCATGGTGATTTTACTTTTGAATCCGTGGTACGGTAATTAATTCTTGGATATTTTGATTAGGTTCCTGATTGTTATGTCAATTTAGCACTGAGATCGAGTTTTCGGTTTTATGCGAGTGAGGTAAGTAAATTATGATAACGCCCTTCGATTTCAAAGCATGTTTTAAATTGTTTTTGAGATGGTGGCAAGGTTTAAATTGATTTTATTAGCATGCTTGCTTGGAGTTTATTTAACTGTCCTGATGAACTGAGAATTTTGTAAACTTTGATTTTTCTGCTAAATCCATGCCCACATGGAAATTTTTCGATTTATTCTTGAAATTGAGAGTGATTGTGAATCATGGATTTTTCTGTAAATCTTGCCTGGTTTTGTCTCCGATATGGTCATGTTATTCGTGTGCCTGCTAGTGGGAGGTTTATAAACGCTAGCATATGTCGACATGTTACTGATAGAACCGGTTCGTTTCTGTTATCCTGCTAGTGGGATTATACACTAGTAAATAGTGTGCCTGCCAGTGGGATTATACACTAGAAAATAGTGTGCCTGCCAGTGGGAGGTTCATAACATTGGCTATGACCTATAGAGAAGACGTCTATTTCATTTCCGTACTCGTACCTGTTTTTCGTGATTACACTTGTTAGCATGCTATAAGTTTAATAAGGGGCACTCCATATTTTACTTACTAAGTTATCTCATAGTTTTTCCTTGTCCACCATTTTAGGAAACGAAGTCAAGGACGGGGAAAAAGGAGGGGAGTGACGAGTTAGAAGGCTAGCCATCTTGTAAAGTGAACATAGATTGTAAATATAGATCATGATCTTGTAAGACTAGATTTTAATTGGAGATTTTATAAATTCATTTAATGGATTGTTAGTTTACAAGAGATTTGACCTGTAGATTTTGAGCTTAAGTCATGTTGGATATAGAATTATTTTGAAATATCTGAGTTAAGATATTGTAACGTCAGATGTGAATTGGATAAGTTCTGAGTCTTGTGCATTTGTGGGACCCTCTCATGAGTGCACAGCGTCTGCCATGTCCTCAGATTTGGGTTCTGGGGCGTGACACCTTATATAGTTGACTTTGTCTGCTTGCCTAGAGTCGACTCTTTACATGGTGAGTCGACTCTGCATTGTGTCCAAAACTTCTCCATTCTCTGGAATTTGGGAGTCAAATCTTGACCGTCTAAAGTTGATTCTGTTTGCTTCTTAAAGTCAACCCTTTATATAGAGAGTCGACTCTGTCCTGCATCCAGAACTTCTTGTAATATCCCAAAATTTCTGGAATTTTAACATTAAGTTAAGGACTTTTATGAGAGGAAATATTATGTTGGGGCTTAATAGCAAAAATTTGCTAAGTTGAGGGACTTAAAAAGGGAAAAGATATTGGATAAGGATCGGCTGACTTTTTCTTTTTCTTTCTTTCTTTCTTCCTCAACTGTGCAGTTCTGCTCTCCTTCTTCCCGATGCTTGCCTCCCGAAAGCCCCCCAAGCCACCGACGCATCCTTGAAAAAAAAATTGGCGAAAGCTTGATGTTTGTTCCATCTTTTCTTGCTCAAGAACCAAGTTTCAAGCTTAGAACTCTCTCTCCCAAACCCAGAATTTTCCAGATCTGCACTGTTTCCTCCCCTTGCTGTCCGTCGGCTTCTGCTATGTGTGATTGCTGGGCATATTTCCGGTAAGCCATAGCCATGAACTCCATCTTTTCAGCTTGATTTAGCTTGGGTTCATGTTAAATCTGTTGTTTCTCCAGATTTTGGGTAGACCAGTGAGTTCCCTTGCAGATTCCCGCCGGCTTCCCCTAGCTTGCAGCTCCGGTTTCTGCAGCTGAAAATTCTGGTATGTTGACAGCTCCTCCAAGCTTGAATTTCATGAATTGATTGCTGCCTATGTTGTCTGAATTTTTCCTAAAATGGGGGAGGAATTCTGGTAGCTTTAAGATAAATTTAAGCATTAATTCAAGTGAAATTTATGTGATTGAGTGTTAATTGACTGCTGTGAGAATTTGGAGAAAAATCCCGTGAATTAGCTAGTGTTTTGGCCAATTTTTTTGGAAGTTGCAGTACTGTTCACGGCGGGAGCACTGTTCACGGGCACTGTTCACGGGTACTGTTCACGCACTAATGGCCAACAATTAACGGGGATTAAAATTTTTAGTTTGTAATATAAGAACAAATTTGGAGATGTCTGGTAATGTGGAGACTGATAGAAATAGCAACGTGATTAAGGATAGTCCTAATGATGATCTTACTTTTGAATCCGTGGTATGGTATTAATTTTGGAATATTTTGATTAGGTTCCTAATCGTTCTGTCAGTTAGCACTGAGATCGAGTCTTCAGTTTTATGCGAGTGAGGTAAGTAAATTTATGGTAATGCCCGTATTGTTTTTAAAAGCATGTTTTGACTTGTTTTTGAAGTGGTGACGGGAGTAAACCCATTTTATACAAAAGTAAGTTTGACTGATTTGAAGTGAAATTTTTTTGCTTTTCATTAAATTGAGCATGCCTACTTGAAATTTAATTGATTGTCTTGATGATTTGAAAGTGATTGGTGAATTATGATTTTTCTGTTAACTTTTGCCTGTTTTGTCTCCGATGTGATCATGTTATTAGTGACCCTGCTAGTGGGGGTTAAACGCTAGCACATGTCGACATGTTTACTGATATGACCGGTAAATTCTGATGCCTGCCAATGGGCGAACACATTGGTAAATTCTGACGCCTGCCAGTGGGTGTTATATGCTGGCCATGACTTATAGAGGAGACGTCTATTTCATTTCCGTACTCGTATCTGTTCTTCGTGATTGCACTTGTTGGCATGCTATAAGTTTAATTAATGGCTATCCATATTTTTCTTACTGAGTTATTTCATAGTTTTTCCTTGTCCACCATTTTAGAAAGCGAAGTCAAGGATGGGAAAAATGAGGGGAGTGACGAGTTAGAAGGCTAGCCATATTGTAATTGGATATGAAATTTTAGATATAAATCATGATCTTGTAAACTAGACTTTATTTGGAGATTTATGATATCAGGGTGAATTTTAAAATTTTATCTTCAGATTGTGGTGGTATCAGATTGTGGTATGATAAGTTCTGAGCCTTGTGCATTTGTGGGACCCTTTCACGAGTGCACGGCGTCTGTCGTGCCTCGAAATTGGGTTTTGGGGCGTGACACTTCTCCTCTTTGGATTTTGGGAATCAAATATTGACCTTCTAGAGTCGACTCTGTGTGCCCCCAAGAGTCAAATGTCACTGCTTAGAGTCAACTCTGTGTGCCTCAAAAGTCAAATATCATTGCTTAGAGTCGACTCTATGTGCCTCAAGAGTCAAATGTCACTTCTTAGAGTCGACTCTTTACTAAATACACATATTCTCCATATTTCATTATAGGGTCGTAGTTGTAGTCAAGATTCAGATATTGTCACATCCCAAAAAAAAAAAAAAAAATTGCACTTTGATTGCACTATCATTCATCAAAGCAACCTATGTTCCAATACTAATACTTACTCATGCAAAATTTCTTTTATATTTTATTTAGTGCCTCCATCTTTTTAATATACCATTTATTAACTTTTTCTAACAATCCACATCACTTAGGGGAAACTCTTATCTACTATGTTTGCACTTACATAAAGAGCTTTATATTTCTTGCCACACCAAGGAGCTTCCTTGCCTTGGAGGACACTTGTCTACAGTGTGTGTGTTTCCTGGTATAGATCTTAATGTGCCAACCTCACCCCTCTCGGTAGCTTTGGTCTATATGTCACACTACTAGAAAATTCCTTATTTCAGTCAAACTATTTCGGGCAAGCAGAAATCTTGATTGAAATAGTAACCATTTCAAGCATATTTATCAACCGAAATCAAAATCTGTCCATATAAAGCCTAATTCTTCAATTAATTTGGTTAAAAACCAGTTCGATCATGGATTTTGACCGAAATGTGATGGCTGGAAGTGGTGCAACAGGTGGTTTGGTCAAGAATACTGACCGAAACCATCACCTCCATTATTTGGTCAAGTAGATTGATCGAAACAATGGCAAAGAAATCCAGCCGATTTTGGTTTAATATAATATATTAGCTTCCGTCAAAATTGTTGATCGAAATAGGCCAGCTAAATTGATTTGATGGAAGCAGGTTTTCTTCGTAGTTTTCTTTCCTATTTTAGTTAGGAAACATGACCGAAATATTAGTCTGTTGAGATTTGACTGCATCTGACCAAATTCAGCCCACCCATTTCGATCAAATTCAATGACTAAATTTAACTTGGAAGTAATTTGATGTAGCAGGTGGCTAGTTTGGCTTTTTCAGTTGTTTTCAGTCAATGTGCTTGATCGAATTAGTGTGCTGTGTAACTTTTCACATTTTTTCAACCAGTAGTTTTCTCCGAAGTTTACCTGCTGGAGTTTGATTGATAGGTGCAAATGTGGATCCCACCATCTTTTCCACTATTTCGGTCAAGGGAAATGACCGAAATAGCCCTCATCCCTCCTCCATCCACTATGACTTCTCCTTTCTCATTCTAAAAGCAGTTTAGTTAGTTTTTAAGCTCTCTTTTGCCTTCCCCATGCACCACTCTGCATTGCAATTGATTTCAGTAAATTATGATTATATTGATTAATTGGTTGATTGATAAATTATGATTTTATTGTTTAATAATGATTGGTAAATTATGATTTGTTTGATTAATTAATTAGTAAATTATGATTAGATTATTTTAATTGATTGATAAATTATTATTATATTAATTAATTCATTTATAAATTATGATTATGTTGATTTGTTATTAATTGGTAATATTAATTAATTGATTGATTAATAAATTATGATTATTTTGATTAATTTATTAGTAAATTATGACTAGATTATTTAATTAATTGATAAATTATTATGATATTAATTAATTAATTGTGATTATTTTGATTAATGATTAGTATAAATTACGATCATATTGATTAGTTATTAATTGGTAAATTATGATTATATTGTTTAAGTTTTTAGTAAATTATGTTTATACCGATTAATTAATTGATTAGTAAATTTACATTTTATTGATTAATTGATTGGTAAATTATGATGATATTGATTAATTGATTAACAAGTTATGATAACACTAATTAATTATATTAATTTTCAATTTTAGTTTATGAAATATGTTTAACAATTTAGTAACATGCCACTTTATGATGGATGTGATGAGAGTGATATAGTACTCAAATGGGTGTCTCATTTTATGAATGCAAAGACACTTTATAATATGAGTGTGGTTAATTGAGATTATATGTTAAAGTGCAATAAAAGATGGATTAAATCAGAGGATTGGGATAGTATTCCAAAAGATTTTTATAATGTTAAAAAAATGATGAGACGCTTCAGTTTAAGTTATAAGAAGTATGAAGTTTGTGTAAATAACTACTTCTTATATTATGGTGAATATAAAAACAAAAACTACATCGAATGTCCAATATGTGGTGAACCTCATTATAAACAAGACAAAATGTGTAACAAAATCAACATATACCAAGGAAGTCATTGTGGTATCTCTCAATTACACCTAGACTGAAACGGTTGTTCATGTGTAGAAAACTTACTGAGTTCATGATATGGCACCTTACTTGTGGTGGTGAATCTGAAAAATTGTGCATCCTGCTAATGTTGAGCATAGAAACACTTTGATCACACCTACCCCAACTTTGGGTTAGATCTAAGGAATGTAAGGCTTGGATTGTGCATAGATGGGTTCACTCCATTTAGACATACAATAGCTCCATATTCATGTTGGCCTGTATATTTGACTATTTACAACCTACCTCCAGCAATGTGTATGAAATCGAAGTCCATCTTTCTTTCTCTAATATTACAAGGCCCTCATAGTCTAGTAAAAAACATTAATATCATGGTATGCCCACTAATTGATGAATTAATGGAACTTTGGTATAATAGGGTTAAGACATATGATAGCTTTAGGCATCAACATTTCATTATGAGAGCAGCACTAATGTGGACAATTAGTGACTTCCTCAGAGATGGCATGTTATCTGGATGGAGCACACATGGTAGATTGTCATGTCCGTATTGTCAGGAAAATTCTAAGGCATTCCACCTCCCAAACGGTCGGAAGATATCATTTTCTGATTGTCATTGATAGTTTTTACCTCCCAATCATCCATTCAAGAGAAATAGGAATGATTTTAAAAAAGGCCATATAGAGAATCTTGCTCCACCAAAGAGATTGTTGGGTGATGATATGCATCGACAAATTCAGCAATTGCTCAATATATTTTTTGGGAAGCCATCCCAAAGGCAACTGATTGAATGATTTGGTAATTGACATATTTGGGTTAAAAGGAGTATCTTTTGGGAGCTTCCTTATTGGACCACTAACTTAATTCATCATAACCTTAATGTAATGCACTGTGAGAAAAGTTTTTTTGATAATGTCTTTCACACCATCATGGATGACCCATTGACGAAGGACAACTTGAAGCCAAGGTCGAGTATGGAATTGTATTGCAATAGGCCAAGTCTTTGTATATCAGAAAGAGGCTCTAATGTAAGTAAAAAACTAAAGACCACTTATGTCTTAAATAAGGAGCAGAGAAAATTGGTGTGCCAATGGCTAAAGAATCTTAGATTTCCTAATGGTTTTGCATCCAATATCTCTTGGTGTGTGAATATGCAAGAGGCGAAAATTAGTAGGTGAAAAGTCATGATTGCCACATATTCATGCAAAGTCTCCAACCAACTGCATTTCATGATTTTCTCCCAAAACAAGTTTAGGAAGCATTTATTGAGATCAATGAATTTTTTAGAGCTTTATGTTCTTCAGCCACTTGTGTTATAAAGCTCTTCAGCCATTTGTGTTACAGATATGGAGATTTGGCATGTGAAGATTGTAGAAACAATTTGCCAACTTGAAAGAATCTTCCTTTCTTTTTTTGATTCAATGGAGCATCTAGCAATCCACCTTCCAAAAGAAGCCAAGGTGGGGGGACCAATGCAATTTTGTTGGATGTATCCATTTGAGAGGTATTATTAGAACACCTACTTTTTTTAGTATTTTATATCTATAATATAAAACATAATTTTTTTAAAATTTATTAATTATTTAAAATTTTTTCATGAATTAGACAAATGCATGGATTGAAGAGTTCGATGAAAAATAAAGCTCGTCCAAAATGATCAATATGTGAGAATTACATAATGAATGAGATCTCATACTTTATCTCGCTTTATTTTGAAAGAGGAGTTGAGACAAGAGGTGATCGCATTTCTAGGAATCTTGTTGGCCTTGGCCCTTCAATTAATATTGGCCTTTCAATATTCGATAATCTTGGAAAACCAATTGGTTCTCTACAACAACAACGAGTTTTGCCAATGGAGGAGCTTAATGCTGCAATGCATTATGTTTTAATGAATTGTGAGAAACTGAAGGAACGGATTGAGTCAATAGATTTTCCTAATCCTCATCCTTAATGACATTTGAGAAATTAAATGATCTATTTTAATTTACACATAACTATAATGGATGCTTGATTAGGGTTTCTGAAGAGGAAGAACGTCAAAATATGGCTCCCCAACAAATACAGATGACACGTTCCAATTATCTTGTGTCATGATTTGAAAAATTAGTAAGTTTAATCCTAACTTTTAATTATTGTTAATTAATTATTATATACTTATAATTAATAAAATAATTCATGTGATATAGGTTTTACATGATGAGTTTGAGGGCATTGATGAGCATTTGATTAGTTTGGCTCGTGGCCCTTCTTGGATGGTTTCATGCTATAAGGGCTTCTGGGTAAATGGTTTTCGATTTCATATTGCCTCATATGGAAAGAACAAGAAAACAATAAATAGCGATGTGTGTCATAAAAACCACAAGAACAAAATCAGATTTGGATTTTATGAGTTGTTGCAAGAAGTTATTGAGCTTCAATATGTTGGCTCCAAACATCGACAAATGGTTGTTTTATTTAAATGTGATTGGTATGAAATTCCTCCTTCATGAGGAATTGTAGTTGACTAAAAACACCGTCTTGTTGATATTAATCCAAATAGAAAACTGAGAACTTATGAGCCTTTCATCTTGGCAAGTCAAGGTAAACAAGTGCATTACACTTTATATCCATCACATAATTCTGTTAGGAAGGGATGGGTTGCTATATTGAAATGCAAGGCAAGAAGTATTATTGAGATGCCAAATGAGTAGGAGGACCAACATGATGATCCAAAGCCCATTTTTCAAGATGACAATCCTCCAGCTCCACAACCAACTGAGTTAGATCTCATATTATATGAACCTATTTAGCATACTAACGAAACTGTAACTGCCATTAATGTAGAATTTGAGGATGTGGATGATGATAGAGAATTTGAGGAAAAGGATAAGGAGGAAAAAGAATTTGAAGATTATTCTACATCTAATAAAGAAAATATTAAATTCATTTATGAGAGTGATATTAGCGATTAATTAATTAGTAACATATATAAACTTTGTTATTATTTAGTAGTTTATGTATGACGTATTTTATAACACATTAGGTGATATGTAAGTGGCTTAACATAAAAGAGAACTTAATGTGATGTTTATTAATATGTATAAATATTATTTTTAAATTTCCTATTTGATTTAATTTTTTAAAAGTTTATTTGTAATGCATTTTTTTCAATCATATACTAATGTAGTATTATTTCTTAATTTTTTTTGCAATGAATTGCATACTTGGAGCTTGTAGGGGTGACAAGTCTATTGATGTTGCCACCCAAAGGCTTGTAAGGAAAAATTAATCACAAGCAACTGGGTCTTTGAGTACCATTGTTAGGAAGACCTTGAGGGAGATAGGTGGGAATGGCAGTGACATTGACTCTAGTGTACCCTCACCTCCTCAACCCAAAAAGGGCTAAGAAATTGCCAAAGCAAAAGCTCAAAAAATGCTAGAAGTTCCTTCTTAGAAGCTGAGCATTGGGATTTGGGATGGGAAAACATTACCAAAGCAAGTTCGAAAGGAAATTTCAATCATCCTTAAGTCAAATATGCGTGATGCATACATAGGGTGGGGCTCAATTTCTTGTGAGCACAAGGAAGTGTACTAGTAGGTTTTTTAGGTTTGTAGTTTTATTGAATAATTTATAATGACATGTTTTTATTTATATATGTGCATATTCTTATATGAATCAATTAATATATGAATATATGATACTTATATATATTATAGAATAAATACGAGTGGGACCCTGTTGAGGAGAGTGTTGTACATATAGCATCTTTGCACATCTATGAACAATGATATAA